ATAAATAGAAGAAATCGGATCGATACTATGGAGGTAACGTCAATAGGTCACGTTCAAAAAATCATAGATTTGGTGCACAATTGATCGTTAGAGAGMTTGCTGTTAGTATGGAATATCATTTTACTCACATACGAGTAAACCATTTTGAAGAATGTGTTGTGTCTCAAGTCTCAATTGGTGTCAAAATCACAATAATGCACCATGTATTGTATGTTTTTTTCATTGACGATTACTACTGCGAAGTAGATGTAACAATAATTTGGAAATTRATGTGAGTGCCATCAAGGTAGCAGTAGATATTCCCACTCAATATCAATTGTATCTAACCGATGCACCGTGTTGCTCTTGAGATCTAGTAATTTACTGACGTGGCTTCATGCTAGATCGGTAAGGTTGAAAAAGCTAATAGAAGTCAGTTGTCGATCAAAGTTGCCCGGAGGAGGGAGGAGGTGAACGTATCAAAATTCTTTCTACTCGACCTTGTAGGTATAGGTAAAATGGTTACTAACTGCATCAACAAATCAGTGATAGACACTTCGAYGATACGTGAAGATCGTTTGGTCTACATCCAAACGAAATGCTTTTGATCATTTTATATCTCGACTRCTTTAAGGGGTTAGGTGGGTTTCAGAGGTACAAAAAAAGGTATTTTTACGATTTTTTTCTTTAATATAAGCGATCATATATTTGAAGGATTGAAAATTTTCATTTTTTGGTAAAATTTTCGCCATTTATTGGTAAATAAAAGTAAGAAACAAGCAAAAATCCTTCGCTCAACAACTAGGTAATGTTATTTTAAAAACGTGTACAAAATACGAACTAAACCGGTCGATAACATTTTGAGAAATCGGGTCAACCGACTTCAAAAGCACAGTGTCGAGAAAAACACGTTTAAAGGCGGACATATTCCAGAGGTATTACAGAATGTAATAAAGCAAACAAAAACATTGATTTTTTGAAATTTTCAAACCCACCTAACCCCTTAATATATTGGAACATGAATATACATAAGCATATGTATATCCACTTGTGAATTTCTAAAAAGCGAAGTGTTTTTGTGAGGACGGGAAGAGGTCGCTGATAAAGACCGTGCTGGGAGACCGACGACTTCGACAAACACCGCCAATGTGGCTCGTGTGCGCAAATGTTCATGACGCAGCAAATGGTTCATCACATTGTGACGGAGCACTTGAACAATGTGCAAGGTGTGCAAGGTGTGCGCGAGGATAGTTCCGAAAGTGCTCACTAATGGCCCGAAATTGCGACGAGTGGAAGTGTGCCAAGAAAACTTGAACACGTGTGCAAGTGACCCCCAATATTTTAATAACATAATTACACGTGACGAGTCTTGGATTTTTGAGTATGATCCCGAGACAAAAAGGCAATCGGCCTTTTCTTTTAAGACGACAGAGAGGATCCAAGCAGCTTGCATCTCGGCTCTCAAAGCTATTCCGGAGAATTCCTTCCTTGATGCCCTTATCGCGCTGGCAGCACTGCATCGACTCAGAAGGAGCTCATTTTCAAAGTTTTAAAGAATTGTAACGATTGGTTCAATATATAATTTAAGATTCCATTTGATTCTTTCACTGTCCAGTACTCAAATCAAGATATAATTAATACAACGGAATACAATTTTGCGGCCATAATTCTCCCAAAATATGGCATCTCCTGACCAAGAACTGTCCAAATCCAACCAAAACTGTTCAATACCCTGTGTGCTGAATATGTGGACCCCAGTATCTATAGTTGACTTGAGTATGTGGTCAGTAGAAAACTTTAAAACAAAGTTTTTTTTTTTTGTTTGTCTAAAATGTGCTTGAAAGCAAACCACTTTAATGTAATCTAACTTTCAAGCAAGCAACTCAGCTTCTATGATCATAAATTTTTACGATTTCTTTTMACTATAATAACGGCATAAGTGAGAATAAAATGCACCCAATGGTCATTGCTTGGCAAGAGTCGAAAGTATGTTAAAAATTTATTAACTTAATCGTTAAACTCTTGTGTGTGCAATTTTCTTTTATTTTTCTTTACTCAACACTTATGTTTGTGCACAGTTTTTGAGACAACTTCGGCATGCCGCACATTGTTTACCTTTTATGGTTGCAGCTASGCTCATTGTTAACCTCAATCCACCGGCAAGATGGTTCATGTTGTACGTCTGTCAATGACACTTTCCGGTTTCGCACTTCAAAACCGACTGACTGACACTACAATACGCTGTGCATCATTGAAAATAAAATAATAATAGAAAATACCGGCAGCCAGTCAAGTGAGGGGCGCACAAATAAGCAAGCAACACAGCCAAACAAAATTGACAATAACTGCAGCAAGAAAATTACTTGAGTGACACTTGAAATGAAAATTATCCCTGCAACAAGAGCACGTACGAGCGAAAATCACCGAGCAGACGCATGCTAAATGCCACAACATTCCTGGCTGCTCGGCTAAAAGTAATGCGAACAAAAACATTAACCACAACAACAACAACACACATAGACGAATAAGCAAAAAATCTAAGCACAAAAATAACAAACAATTTTCTTATGCACTCAYGTGTGGCAGCAATTCACGAACTCACGAACAACTCGAGAGTTGTGTGCAAACACGCAGCGCACACAAAGCCCGTGGAGTGCCACTTCAGCGGCCACCCTCCACGACATTCATCAACGCCCGCTTCTCAGCTGGGTGGACTGGCGTGTAACTTTATCCCAGCCGATGCTAGATGCCTCGTATATACATAGATATATATATATATATGCGTGTGTGTGTGGAAAAGCACATCCTTGTGCTTATTTTGACTGCACACAAATTTTGTTATTCGTCTGTTGACACTAAATCGCATGTTAAGTGTAATTTTTACCTCAATCAAAGCACTCGCTTTTGGTATTTCAAGTGGAATCCTTTACACTGCTATTATTTGCTATACGCACATGTCCACATACTGATACACGTGTTGTCGTGGATTAAAGCGSACATGYATTARTACTTRATGAGAAATGCCTTCTGAAGATTTGGGCATATCTTTCAGCTTCCAATTTTGTTTCTTTATAGAACTTCTTCTTCTTCTWTATTGCCGCAGACRCCGTTTAAGCGGTTATAGTCAGATCTTTCCAACGATTTGGGGGTCTTCCTCTGCTTCCGAACACTCTCAGAGCTGSAGTGTTATCAWCTATTCGAAAGACATGACTTAGCCAGTGTCTCYTAATTCGCTGAGCTWTGTCAATGTCATCGTATATCYCGTACAGSTCATCGTTCCATCGACTGCGKTATTCGCAGATGCCAWTCACACTATAGGGTYGCTTGGTRTGGAACGGCTCGATAAAGTCCTTCCCMATTCTGACGCAGCTTTTGRTATTCCTCAACGTCAGCTTACACAACCGTATTATCCTTGCGGGGATACCAAGCCCAGACATAGCGACATTGATGCAGTTCTTTCTATTGCCTTCTAGCTTGCATCTGCGGCAACTATTGTTAAAAGGCATATCCCATTTTTACAAAGTCTACATATACTCTTCCTGTACCTCTCAGTATCTATTTAATAAGTCCCTAGTTTTTGCCTTGTCATATTTTGGGCGTATGTGCTGCGCTATCTTGAATTTGCTTGTTGATTTCCAGCGAAAGTTCCTTATCGCTTTTTGGTCACCAAATGTTTCTCTTAGTAGTATTAGTAGGAAGACAGCACCAGCGAAAGTTCCTTATCGCTGTTTGAACTTTGCATTGTTCTGCGCAATTCATCGAGTGATTGTTGATGCTTGATTTTTTTTTCTCCACGATTGCCCTTTTACCCAAACTTATAGTTATTACTAATATTTTTTTTTTTTTAACACATATTACAATGAGCAAAAAATAGTAGGACTTTTTTACCCAGTACACTTGTTCAAACGTTTTTTCCAATCGTCGAAACAGTTGTTATAGTCACTTTCCGGAATAGCATTCAATGCACGTAGCGCTTGACGCTTTTATCTTTTATCTTTTAATTTTTCAAAACGCTTTCCCCAGAGTAGTCGTTTGAGTTTGTTTAAGGGCTGCTGTTTTTAACCGATTTTTTTCTCATATATATTTTATGCAATTTTTAATTGTTAACATACATTATTAACAAAGAAATTCTAAAATTTTTAGAAAAAATAGTTTAAACTCGGTGGCCCATCGGGAAAAAATGGGTCTTTGTTAGCAGGATAGCTCTTTAGAGGATCTTCTAAAGTTAAAAAATAATTGTTGTACTTAAAATAGCGGCCACTTCTATTTATAACAAGATAACGACCCAAAACACCCGTCTCATCTTGTACGTGCAGGGTTGTTATGGAATTAAAAATAACTCCATAGGTTCCGCAATCACCATACATAAATCCTGTTCAAAATACCTAGAACTTTTTAGAAAATCGTATTCGAAAACATCGAATTTTATCAAAATAAGGCCAAACAGCTGAATCATGGACTTAGTGGGTCAAAATATCCGAAAATAATACTACAAATTGAGTGAGGAGCATATACATCTACGTCTAGGGATGATAAAAGCAACAAATTGTAGGCCAAAACCTGCTAAAACTTATTTTTCAATTATATAAATAATCATTAGTGCACGTAAACTTTTTTAATATAAATTAGGCGCATTTTCAACTTTAGCACTAATTTTTTTTTTTTTTTTTAATTTTGATATGCTATATTTAACGTTAAATATACATATCTTGAAATGGATAGAAAAAAACCACAAAATTTATTMATTTCAAAACAAATAAACATGTCGTAATTTACTAGAACTAGGTATATGTAAACTTTATTAGTCCACTGTATGTATGATATGTGTACAAGTAACAAGAAATCATATTTCAAACAGTATGCTTTAGGGTATTAAAAAGGTGAATTTCATCGAATTCTAATTTAATCGATTTAATAATAAGAAAAAGCTCCAAACTAAACTTTCATAATGCAAGGCACTACATAATAAACTTCTATGCTGATTAGAATACAAGCATTCGCACCATTGAATAGCGAATTGGCGAATCAGTAAGCTTGCAAAAGCGATCGGTGCTACATCTGGATAGGTGAACGGGTTCGGAGATATCTATAAAATTGTTTGCATATCAAACTTTTTTAATTATTATTAGAAGTTTGATTAATTATTAACAACAAAACACAGGAAATGTTGTCGCGACATCTAATCAAATAYGATGCAATTGTGGGGTATACGTTGACGTCAACAGCTTTAAGAGGGTATGCGACASTTGTGGAACAGACGCAGGTAAACATTCATTATTACAACGTTTTTACAGACACACATATATTTAATATTATCAGTAGTCGTTTAAGTTAGTAAACAAGTATACTTAATATCTATATATTTCAAATGACTTTGTAGATAAATGAAAGGGCGGCTGCTCCGAACGACTTGGAAAATGCGCGTCCATATTCAGAGCTGCCAGGACCAAGCAAGTTTGAAATGATTCGTGGATTTYTACCAGGAGGTAAGACGGTGGATTTTATTTTGACATATTTTCAAGCAGAWTGTTATGTATACGTTGTTTTAAACGCCATCATATTTCCCACATTTTCAGGGATTTTTTACAAGAAAACATTTATTGAAGGAATGACCGATATGACAAAAAAATATGGCGACATTTATCGATTTCCCGCCATGTTTGGCAGACCAGAAATGGTTTTGAATCTTAATCCAAACGATTATCCCATAATATTTCGAAATGAGGGTATTTGGCCTGAACGGCGTTCTTTCGAAGCCTTCATTTATCACCGTAAGGTGCACAGAGAGGATTTTTTTCGCGGCGTGAGTGGACTATTGACCACGTAAATACTCTGCAAATAAAGATTACAAATGCGACTTTAACTTTTCTGGTATATACATTTATACTTTCGTAGAACTGGCGAAGAATGGGCAAAAATTCGTACTGCCGTTAATCCGGTGCTAATGCAACCTAGAAATGCCAAACTCTACTTAAACACTTTATTRGAAGTCAATGACGAATTTCTCGAAAGGTTGTTATAATAATTTGTTATATTTTTTAGCATTTTCAAGCTCTTACTAAATTTATTTTAGAATACGTCACATCCGCGATCCTTTGACACTCGAAGTTCCCGATGACTTTCTTGATGATATTAATCGTCTCACTTTAGAAGGCGTGATAGGTATTGCACTAAATACCCGTTTAGGGATGATACATAGAAATCGGGATAATCCAGATAGTAAACTATTTTTGAAAGAAGTTCGTAGTTTTTTCGATTTAACAGAAGAGATAGAAATCAAGCCATCTATTTGGAAAATTATCAAAACACCGAAGTTCCGTCAACTGATGAAAACATTGGATACGCTTACAGCATTGTGCAATAAATATATTGATGAGGCGCTAAAACGAATAGATTCGGATAATGAGGGGAATTTGACCTCAGAAGAAAATAAGGAGAAGAGTGTTTTAGAGAAACTATTGAAAATTGATCGCAAAATTGCTGTGGTTATGGCTTTAGATATGATGATGGCTGGCGTTGACACAGTAAGTTCAGCACAACTCAATCATGTGGTTAMGAAAATATTTCAAATTTATTCTTTCGTTATCACAGACAAGTTCCACCTTAACGGGCATATTATTTTGTATCGCYAAAAATCCAGACAAACAACAGAAACTATTCGAGGAACTCAAAACCATTTTACCAAATAAGGACTCTCGCTTAACTATCGAGAATATGAACAATCTTCCTTATCTGCGCGCYTGTATTAAGGARGGYATGCGCTATCATCCCATAATTGCCGGCACTATACGTCGTCTGCCGAACGATGTTGTGCTGAGTGGATATCGTATACCGGCAGGTATTGATGTTTCGGTTAGTTCCAATTTGCTGTTGCGCAATGAAAAATTTGTAGAAGAGCCAAATAAATATATACCAGAGCGTTGGCTGCGTAATGACACAGAGGGTAARAAATATCAACTCAGCAACCCTTTTCTATTTCTTCCCTTCGGCTTTGGTCCACGTAGTTGCGTGGGCAAACGAATTGTGGACCTAGAGTTGGAGGTCACTTTGGCACGTTTGGTGCGCAATTTCATGATAGAATTCAATTATTCAACGGACAATGCTTTCTTACCGAAAATGGTATTCATACCAGCTATACCACTTAAATTCAAATTCGACGAAAGAAAAGAGTGAAGCAACGGGTATTAACTGATAAAACAATTATAGGCTCACGGGTTTATGAAAATATAAATTGTTTATAAGTGGTAACCAAGAAAATTAGGTAATTGGATTGATTGGCCGATAAGAGTACTCTTGTAAAAATAAAATATAAATAAGTACTTGTACTGTCGTGGGTTCACAAAATAGATTAAATATATGCAAACAAAAAAGAAAACAATGAAAACTTTATTGTTCAAGGTAGAGTTAAAATTCTTTGGAATTGAAAACTGAAAATGGTGGTATGTATTGTAAAATTTACGTGTGCTTCTTTAAAAAATATGACAAGAATGGAGACATAACTTAAAATAGTTACTAGTTCTTAGCGAAGAGATTGCGACTCAGCAGTATAAGTAGGATGCATTTATTTTATCTTGCGCGCACACACACATAATATATGTATTAGTGAAAAATTTTCAACGCATTTAATTAGCTCCTGTATTGATCGATATTCAGGAGATAAATGCATTCAAAAGAACATAAATGAATCATAAACTTGAGTATTTGAGGAAAAATAAACTAATTAGAAGAAATGCTGAATTCAGTATATTTCGAAATAT